CATAAGTCCTCGTGAGAACGATACTCTATTCACTACTCTATTACTTGACGACCACGTATACTTACGTGAGTGTGTTTGGTCCCAACAATAATGCAAGTAATATTCCAAACGTGAATGTTCTTTTTGCATTCTGAAGATCAATTTAGTGTTTGAAAATCTCAAGCTTGTGTAAAGATACTATAATGATGCATTTGTTTTAATTTAACTGGGTGCTATTTGATTATACCTTTAATAGAGTTTAGTAATTTTAAAGGTTGTCCATACTTGACTTGGTTGACAGATTGCCAAAACATATTATTTATGTCGGGCCTGTGTATATATGCGTGGAAAAGGCGGTCCTGAGAATTCAGGTTGTATATACAGAGGAGTTAGGCAAATGACATGGGAAAAGCGGGTAGCTGAAATTAGAGAACCTGTATATAATTGTGGTCAGTAATGTCACCTGAGAGGAAACAATCACTTTTGCTGCAACTGCAAGCTAAGAGAGCTGAATCAAAAAAGCGACGAGTCAGAGTAATACATTGTCCACAATGGAAGTGGGTACTTAATCTCAAAGACAAAATGCTCTTACAGTTGCGGATCCTCCGTTAGATTCAGAAGAAGGTAGAACGTATATTGATGTCTAACTTCTAAAAGACGCCATACTTAGATACACACACAATGTTGTGTGTTCATATATAGGTATACTGTGATGTATACATTGATCCACAATCATTAAAGTTTCTTTTTAATTTCTTTCATTTGTTAGGTCATGCTTCTGCAACTACAAATATGCCAATTATTATCGTCTAAGGATATAATATGATTGATTGCTTGTCCATCTTTGAAGTAGGTGAGAGTACAAAAAATAGTACTTTAAATATTCCAAACCATTGCATTGTCAGGATCAACTTCAGGTACATATAATGCAAGGAATTCTTCAACTCCAGCATCTACTGCACATAGAGGTATGTATATATCTGCCAAGAATATAATCGCATAATATCATATTACTGTCTCCTTCCATAACATTGTCATAATTCATCATGAATAGGTAAAAGAAAATTTAGACGTCGAATTACAGAATGATGACTTGTTGCTAAAAAATTACGTGCATTTAAAAGAAGTTCCAGATTGTAAATTTTGTGAAGTAAAAAGGTTCCAATATAAATCACCAAACTTTTGTTGTGGTAGCGGATCAATTAAATTGATTTCTCATCAAATGCCTATAGAGTTACGGAATTTATATTTAGGCAACACTCCCTCACTGCATTCCAAGGCAATCTTGATATTCCTACTGGATTTGAGCAACTCGAGTATGAGCACTATATCGCTATGCCCTCGCTTAGCCCCGTTCTTTTGTTTGGGATGGATCCGGGCTGGAAGCGAAAATACCGTAAAAATGGTTATCCGCTCTATTTACAATCCATACTCTTCACATAGGCATCTATTTCCGAATGACAGGTCCTCATTTACTGGATTGTGCAGCTAGAAAAAATTGACATGAACATTCGACATTTTACTTGTGATTCTAAATTTATTTCATTCTGGAATTGTTCATTTACCATTCCTTTTTTGTCCTGTCAACAAGTGGGACTTATGGAATCAATGAAGCATAGTATGAGAACTCATGCAGCTTCCATCTTTGCTCAAGTCAAATTTATGTACTGCAACTTTTGGCCTTGATCTTAACTATGTACGATTTCATCTTTACTGATCATTAACTTCTTCTGTTTTGCTGTGTCCAGTGACATAAGCATCATTTACGATTTCTTTTTTCCTTTTTCAGCTATTGGAGTGATCAGCAATTTGTGCTTATTGTAAACAAAAATGACTCATTATGCACATATTTCTATTAGATGTCTTTTGCCTGTGGTTATCTTGTTTCATTCCAGTATAGATCAGTGTCATTTAAACAATACTATTTTATTAGTTTGGAAAAATTCTCAAACTGTAATTTGGAACTATTTAAGCAGCACTATTTTATTAACTTGGAAAAACTCTCAGCTAAGATTTGGAACTAGCAAATAGTTCAATCTATTTTAAAAATGAAATGTTGATTTAGGTTTAACTCACAAGACAATGCTGCAGTAACTACTTACCAACAACTTTTTTGATAAAGTTGGCATTTTCCTGTTGAGTTAGCATGAATATGATACTTTGTTTAGGTTGTTTTTCAATGAGTTTATTCTTAGTCCTTTAGAAACAAAGCAAACGGAAAAAAAGACAACTGAAGAAAGTTTGCATGATGACCACCAACAGCTTATATAGATGAGAGTAGGAAAGTTACTCACCTATTTTAATCACCATGTTTGGGCCCGTGTAGGGCACAGGCGAAGCGAAACCCATCTAGTAGTTTATAAATGGTCATATGACACGAACATCACGAGTTCATCTTTATTAAACAAGATTAAAAAAAAAATTTACTGATTGGGGAAACAAAGTTTAGATAGGTATCTTTATTTTAATGTGAACTGTGGGCTAACTGTTTCTTTTTAAAGAACCAAAAAAAGGGTCCTGTAAAATGATCTTTATAAGCTTCATAATAAAAAGAGGGCATGAAGTTAACTTTCATGTAGTGGATGTGACTCTGCTTTTTCTAAGTTGGATAATCAATCTGACATTGTTAATGTCTCTTCTAAGTCAATAGTAACATCTCCAATGATGCATGTCAATAATGTAATTCAAATTGCATAACTCACATAAAAGGAAGCAATTCTGCAGACTACGGAATGAATATTATTCGACGTTCCTTTGAAGGCCAAACCAGCAATCCCTTCCGCAATAATTCGACGAAGTGTATGCAAATGCAAAACCACAGCACTGACAACCAATAAATATTGTGCATTGCACATGCTTACACAAAAACACAAATTCAATTCCAACCTAAGGAACAAATCTACAGCATACCAATAGATTGAGCAGCACTCCAAAATTCCCAGTTACAGAGTCAAGGATCTCAAGACTTTGAAGCCACAATAGAGCAAGCAAATTTCAACGATTAACACAGAATCTGACAGCAAACCGGCAGAGTAAGAGAGAATGCTCACACATCTGAAAGAAAAATGGTCACTCAATTAAAAGCAATTTTTATGTATAAATTAATGCATTCATCAAATACCTAAAATTTTGACTCACCTTATATGTTGCAACTTACAATTCTATATCATCGAAAGAAGCTATTCCGATGTTGAACCAATCTAAAGAGAATTTAAAATAACGTGTCATGCAACACAAATAAATAAACTATTTGAAATATCAATATAAAGGCACATACCAATAAAATATTCTTACCCAATTCAAGTTTCTCAAGATAATCTAAATTTTCCTCAACTCTAACAGGAAAAGATTTCACTTAGAAGCCAATCTTGAGCACACACAAGAATATGCACCAATGAAGGAGTCAATGAGCTCCTAAATGACTCAAGAATAAATCCTCCAGTAGCAAATGCACTTTCTGATGCCACACTAGAAACGGGAATTGCTAAGACATCACGAGCCATCTCTGCAAGAATAGGAAATCTACGTGAATTATCTTTCCACCAAAGCAAGATATTGAAGTCATTACTATCATTCTCAAGTTCTTCACCGAGATACTTGTCCAACTCTGTTCTAACATCCGAACTTTTAACCTTGGCTAAATGTCACTGGTATTCTTGTCGCAATTTTGAGATTGGTGTTTTATGATGGTTTGGATGACTATGGTCCAATGTGTCAATGGCGGAAGACAATAAAAGTTGAGATCCCATTAAATTTTTCTTTAGATACTCATTAAAAAAAGAAGTCATGTATTTCTTCACTTCATTTATTTTTTCCCCCTTTTTCTTCTCCAAACAGACTCACAAGAGCAAAAGCAACATATTCAAATTTGTTCCGAGGATCCAACACACTTGCAATAAAAATCATCTTCATCTTTTCTGGATTACCAAAATACTTGTGAAGTTTATCTTCCATTTTCTTTGCCATCAAACTCATCTCAACATTTTCATTTTCAATCAAGTTTTTCAACACAACATCAAGCTCACAGATCTCTTCAAAGTGAACATTAGATGTGACATAAAGTGATCCAGAGACCTTCAAGGTAAGTTCATAAAAGGGTTTCAGAATTTTCACCATATGCCTTACATTTTCCCAATCACTACTTACAAGTGAGCCGGCAGGTTTTCCATCGTCACAAACATAAGTAACAAGATAATGCATCAATCCAGGATCAAGAGCACCATACCTTACAAATGCTTCCTCAAATTCTTGTGCCACATCCAACATCAAATATGTGGAATCCCACCTAGTAGGAACATCCAAGCATAGTGAATTTTCATACGTTATCCTTTCAAATAAGCAACATGCTTTAAACTTTCTCCACCTTTTGGAAGATTGCTTAATGTATCTCACTGCTTGTCTAACACGTTTTACAGAATCACCCACTTCTTCCAAACCTTCTTGAACAATAAGATTGATGATGTGAGCCATATATCTCATATGAAGGTGGTTACCATCCATTATATTTGTTCCCCATTTAATAAATCGTTTAGACAACTCTTCTACTGTGATATCATCCAAATTATCAACCGTAACAGCGAGCACCTTATCTAAACCCCAATCACGCAAACATTTGATAATAACAGTTGCCATATCATCGCATTTATGACTGGTAATTGGACAAAAATTCAGTATCTTTTTATGCAAAGTCCAATCTTTGTCGATAAAATGAGTCGTAAGACACATGTAATTCATTCCTTGCAATGAAGTTCATGTATCGGCAGTAAGAGAAACTCTTTGTCGTGTTTCTTCGAAAATTTTCTTCAGTTTCTGTTTCTCTTCACGATAAAGATCAAAACAGTCCCTAATCACTGTAATACGAGAAGGAATATAAAATTGAGGTTGCAGGACATTCATTAAGTGCTTAAAACCTTCCTTTTCAACAACACTAAAAGGTTGCTCGTCAACGATTATCATCCGAGTTAATGCCCTGCTACAAAGTTCTTGATCAAATTTCCAAGGATTAAGATTTCCCTCAACCATTTGGCCACCTGAAATTAGTTGAAAGCCTACTTGTGTTTGCCTAGTTTCAACGTTATGGGGAAATTTCGCACACTTTCTCATGTGACCAATCAATGTGGATGCACCATTGTCTATTGTATGAGCAGCATAGCACTTATCACAGTACTTACACTTCGCTCCTGTTTCTCCATAAGAATCAGTGAAGTTTTCAAAGTGTTCCCACACTATAGATCCAGACTTCATAGTTTTCCTTTTCTTTGAACAATTTTCATTGATAGATGTAGTGTTAGTTGTTTCATTTGAACTCCCACGTTCACTTAAACTTTCAATCTCTGCCATCTGATAAAGAAAAGGTTATATTATATCAATCAAACTACAAGCAAGATAAAAGTACAAAAAGCAATAAACATATAGTTAAAAAGAAGAAGCAAGAAAGTGAATAATATACGTTTAAATACAAGAAGCGCGAAAAAAAAAAGAATCAACCAGCAAAACAACATCCACCCTAAAACACAAAGAAAACCAAAAGCTAAAGTAGTTTTGATTTGCGAAGTTTGAAAACCTTAAAATAGACCAAGAAAGTTACCACCTTCAAACCTGCAATTCTCTGGGATATTGAACCTAAAAATAATAATGTAGTGTTCTTATGTCCAATATTTCAAAGATTTGAAAAAACATGGCAAATAGACAAGGCACAATGAACAAGGCTCAAGAACACATTTGTCAAATAAACTTGTTTGGTTTCTATAGTTAATAATAGCAACCCAAAAAAAAAATTATATGCTCTTGCTAATTTTTCATAGTTGTAGAAAGAGCAACAAGCGGAATAAATGACAAACATTATACCAAACATCACCAAGAAGCTGTTGGATCAGTGCTATTCTTGTTACATGAATACGAACAAGAACATTGGTCACTTAGCCATAGCTTTCTCAGCTATCTCTCTTGCTCTAAAATCTTAAAGTTACTTGGATACAAGCTACAAACGATGTATCTTTATATTAGTTGATTGAAGAAAACAGACCTGAATAATTCCAAAAGTTATGCACACATTTCAATATTCATAACAGCATAGCCTTAAATATTGAAATTCCCAAATGCCATCAAAATTTAGAGTGTTAGACATAGTAATTCCAGAAATCATTCCAAAAGCTATATCAAAAGTTCAACTTCATAACACCACACCTTAAATATTGACATTCCAGAAGTTCAAAGCATTAGGGACTGTCTATCACATAAGGAAAAAAACATAGTGAAATCTTATTACAACCCATTTTAATTTCACAAAAAAGAAAACAGAAAGATTAAAAAACGGACCTTTACACTTGATGGAAAATGCTGCAATGGAAATGATTTTCTTTACCTCACTTGTTCAATGTGGCTTTTAATTAGTTCTATTTTTGGGAGCTTTGAATTTGTATTGGAGATGGGGGATTAGGGTTTGTTGGGAAGAAGAGGAAGAAATGGAGGGAAATGAGTTGTCGATGTTGGAGAATGGGCAGAGGGTTTTGGTGCAGTTTTTGAATCTTGAATATACGTTTTCACAATTTTGTATACGCTGAGCATGGGCCCAAGCACTATAGTGCATGTTGAGTTTATTTTTTTAAATATTTACAAAAATAGCCGATTGAATTTACAATTTATTTATTTTAGTCGGTATAAATAAATTATATAATTGATTATTTTTAGTTTATTCAGTTGGGTGGACTCATAGGAAAAAATGTTGAAGTTTTAAATAGCAAAATATTAAATAATAATCATCAAGTATTAAAAAATTTCAATGTTACACAAAAAATATTAAAAATATTCAACAGCTGGAAAGATGCACGGCTCAATCTTACTCATTCTCATTTTTATGGTGTTTTGGACTTTCAGTTTCATTTATTTCTTTCCGTTATAATTTTTTTTCTACTTAAGCATATTTACATAGTTAGGAGTAGAGTATTGATGTGAGTTCAAATCTCAATTACATACATTGAATTAATACATTTTAAGTTCAAAATGTATAATGTACTTAGAAGAATATTTTTTTGACACATATCAAGTATCTTTAGAACAATTATTGTTAAACATGAAATGACATTTTTATGGCTATAAAAATATATCACTAAAAGTATTATAAGAAGTTTGAAATTAAAATATTTTCAAATTTATAAATATGTTATTTTTTTAATAAAGTAAAAAGAGAAAAAAATTCATATAAAATAAATCAGAGAGTAATAATGTGATGACCCGATAGGTCATCTTATATTTTAGAACCTAATTCTGTATTTTGAGGTCTCAAAAACCTCATTTTAGCCTTCCTCAATTTATGTGCGCAGTCTGGGTGTTCTTCCGGAAGGCTTATATGTTAAAAACTGATAAAAATAAGAATTTTGTCTTAAAAATTTATTTGAGTTGACTTCGATCAACGTTTTGAGCAAACGGCTGGTACCAGTATTTTGACAGTCCCGGTGAGTCCGTATCGTAATTTAAAACCTGGGCGTATGCCCGGAATCGAATTCGGAGGTGCCTAGCTCGAGTTATGAATTTTTGTTAAAAATTGAAAGTCTGAAAGTTTAATAGTTTTTAAAAATTGATTGATGCTTGGTCTTGTTGATAACGGGTCCGTATTTTAGTTGCGGTGCCCGGTACAGGTCCACTATAATATTTATGACTTGTGTGTCGAATTTGGTGAGAAACGGAGTTGATTTGACGTGATTCGGACGTTCGGTTGCGAAAATAGAAATTTTAAATTTTTTTTGAAAATTTCATTTGATTTGGTGTCTGATTCGTAGTTCTGGGCGTTATTTTGGTGCTTTGTTCGCGCGAGCGAGTTCGTATGAGGTTTTTGGACTTGTGTGCATAATTGGTTTGGAGTCCCGAGGGCTCAGGAGAGTTTCGAATAGGCTACGGGTGTTTTGAAACTTAGAAAATCTGGTTTTTTGTGCTTCAGTTGTTATATGGTGTCTTCTTCTTCGCGTTCGCGAAGGTACTCTCGTGAACACGAAGAGTAAACTGGGGCAGGGTGATTTTATTAATCGCAAACGTGGTAGCTAGGTCGCGAACGCGAAGCAATGGGGGCCTTACCCTTCGCGAACGCGACCAGCTTCTCGCGAACGCGAAGCTTTAGGGACCTGGGGGAGGGGTCAGTCATTCTTCTATGCGAACGCGGGCATTGGCTCGCGAACGTGAAGGCCAGGGGGAACAGCCTTCGCGAACGCGAAGGAGGACTCGCGAATGCGAAAGCCACTCGGGCTGCTGCTTATCGCGAACGCGGCAGGCCCTTCGCAAACGCGAAGAAGGCCTGTCGCATGTGACTTAAAACAGAACAGTAGCAGGATTTTCCCAAAATTTCATAAACCTTCCTAGTACTGTCCTTTTCCCCCGATCGCCCCGGGCTGTCGGCTATGACCAGAGCATGTTCAGTTGGGTCTTTTGCGGATGACATATTTCCCTTTGACCTTAGATGTTATGGTGGTTCCACCAGTTTTGGTCGACACAAACCAACTTTCTTTTCTTTTTGGGGATAATAATAAGGCAAAAGAAATAATAAGAAAGAAAATAAAAGGAGAAAGAGTCAGTTTCTTCATTTATATATGCAGGAAATCATACAAAGCGAATAATTCATGTATTATAGCTAGCACGTTACTAGAATTTGCGAGGACCTCTCATTGCCGGAGGTAGGCCTAATTCGCGGATATTTGATAGACATTTAGACTTGACATATTTAGATCTGAAGCAATTTGTTTTTATTGATAATTTGGACTGATACAAGTGGGAACATGGGTTACATCATCATTTCCTAGAATTGCATGGGCTTGGACAACTCTCCCTTTGGGAAAGTAAAAGAGAAAACTAGGGGGGTAAAGGTACAAAGTAGGAAAGAGGGGAAATCAACCAACTCTAATAACCATCCACTGAGTCCTTTCCTGTGTCCTTTTCTTCTTCTGGCTCCTCTTCTGGGTCTTCCTCAAACTCTCCCTCATCATCATTGCATTCAGACTCCTCCTTCAGATCTTGTTCTGGCTCTATGCTAGACTCTATCTGGATGCACTCCACTACTCGATCATCCTCTTTAGCTGATGGCAACATATGGTCAATGGATCCTAGGATCACCTGACAAGGCATTGATGTGGTCACAAGGTAATGCGGCAGGATCTCATAGTAAATCTGCAAAGTGACCACTGCGTCCTCTAACAGGCTATACCCTCTCTGCTCGGGTGAGCCAGTTCTTCTTCTTCGTTAATCCAAACGTAGTACTCGAGAGTACACCATGAGTTTTGACCCATAGGTATTGTTACCGGGTCATTCCACTCTTCTTGCAACCTCTTTATTCTGGGAATCATAATCTGGCCATTGTAGTCATCCTCGTATAGAAATGTCCTTGTCCATAGAGGCACATCTTGGATCATCCCGAATTGTCTGAGGACCCGCGTGGGTGAGTATGGTTGAATGACTTCCAGTCCGATCAACTCAATGAAGTACTTCTGAGGAGTCCTCAAGATTGCCCTTCTACCTAACCAAGAGAGTTTGCAGTTGATCCATTCTCTTGTAAGATTGGTTGTGGATCATATTGCAACATCCATGAAGTAGTCGATGGTGGCCTCTCGCTGGAAAAAGATTTCAGTAGCCCAAATATGAAGCAGCAAGTTACAACCCTTAAAGAAATCATAGCCTCGTTCACATGCAGACAAGCTCTCAGCATTTTAACTAAGACCATCGGCACCAAAGTAGCTTGAAGATTGCCGCGGAAGATTGCCAGGACCACTGGTAACAGGTTGATGTTGATACGGCCCCTTCGCTACGAGAAGACCAATAGTCCAAACTATTACACCCCATATTTTCGTACGTAAAAGTATGCCATAAGTAAATTGATGAAAGCTCATAAATGATATGTTACATACCGAATTTTCGTATGTTAAAGTTTCGTCGTAAGTTAATCGATGTAAAATTCGGGAATGAGGTTATTTTGAAATTATAAGCATTATGCTATTTCAAACACATGATGAGTAAATTTGTGAAGGAAAAAGGGTAAGCAAATCGAAGAAAAGGAATTTCGTCAAAGTTTGATATTTTGGGATAAAATACGGTTCAAGCTATGATACCCGGTATTTATGGACTAGTGTCATACAAGGCACCACATGACCATAATAGTAAGGTGTGCAAAGTATATTAAAAGTGAGTAGTATTTTATGTAATTTGAGATAATTCTTAATTATGTGGATAAGTGGGTAATTATTAATTTTAGTGGAAGATTAATAATAAATTAAGATAATTGGTGGTTAATTATTGGATAAGATCATCACGTGGCAGCAAACCAATTCAAGAGTTGTGACTCATAAGTCACTATGTTATGTGGCAAGTCTTAACAATATGAGTCATTTCCATTTTAATAAAGGAAAGACACATATAACATGAAGTCATATCCATCCTTAAGAAACATAAGTCAAATATCCATTCTTATATGCATTCAAACGTAAGTGTTTGTATGTTACAAACATAAGTCACGAAAGTAAGTCACATATGCAAGATAAGATCTTCAACAATTCAAAGCAACGTGAGATCTTGCAATTATAAGGGAGTACGGTGCAATCTTTATCAAGAATATCATACGGATATTTCGTACTCCGGTCTTGCCGTCACGTGTTTTGTCATAATTGTCGTATGTTATAGGAATTTTCCGGAGAACCGGCTGAGGTATGTTAAGGCTATCCCTTCTTTCTTTTTGGCATGATCAATACGATACAAACGGAACGAGTAAATGCACAATTTCCATAAATGACTCTATTCATAGAAATATTAGGTGTGTCTATATTCTTGATTCCCCATATAAATTATTATTATATCTTATGTTCATGGGTCTCAGAAAAATATGTATTTGATAAAATTTATCCGACAGGTATATTATTTTTATGACATTCCGAGAAAATCTTATTAACGTATTTCTTATGCATTTCATGCATTTATACATGTACATTGACCCATGACCGGATGACATTATATACACGTATATTATATATATATATATATATATATATATATATGGGATATGGGAAAAGGTTATGGCGTTATATACGCACCACCACCTGATCAACTGGTATACGTTGATGATTTGCCCATAGTGGCCGAAATGATATGATGGGATTCTCTCAAAGGCTTGATGATGTTATGAACACATATACCTATGTATGGCATGACATTTATACGCATATGCATGACGTTATAGAAATGAAATGATTCACAGAGCTATGCAGACGTACATGTCGAGTCTTTTACTCCATATTTCTCTCATGTCTATTATTTACTGATTTTCATTCTTTACATACTCGGTACATTATTTGTACTGACGTCCCTTTTGCTTGGGGATGCTGTGTTTCATGCCCGCAGATCTTAATAGACATGTCGAGAGTCCGGGAAAATGTTACGGCGTTATATAGGCACCACCACCTGGTCAACTGGTATACGTTGATGATTTGCCTACAATGGCCGAAATGATATGATGGGATGCCCTCAGAGGCTTGATGATGTTATGAACGCATATACCTATGCATGGTATGATATTTATACGCATATGCATGACATTATAAAAATGAAATGATTCATAGAGCTATGCAGACATACATGTTGAGTCTTTTACTCCATGTTTCTCTCATGTCTATTATTTACTGATTTTCATTCCTTACATACTCGGTATGTTATTTGTACTGACATCCCTTTTGCCTGGGGATGCTGCATTTCATGCCTGTAGGTCTCGATAGACAGGTCGAGAGTCCTCCAAGTAAGCGATCAGCTCAAAGGTAGATGTTGGTGCACTCTATTTGCTCCGGAGTTGCTTATTTGGTCAGTATGATTTAGATGTGTATTGTTTGGTATGGCGGGGCTCTGTCCTGACCTTTATGACAATTATGTATTCTTAGAGGCTTGTAGAAAGATTTCATGTATATGTAAGATTGTATGGCCTTGTCGGCCTATGTTCAATGTACGAGTGATCGTTTTTGTCTTATAGGGCAGTATGTCATATGTATAAGTTTATTCCCTCATGTATTACTCTGGTTCATTTACCTATGATAGAATGATACGAAAGATATATTATGTTGGTACGCGGTTGAGTAAGGTACCGGGTACCCGTCGCGGCCCATCGGTTTGGGTCGTGACAAAGCAATTATGTCCTAGGGAGTCTACAAGCCGTGTCTAGTAGAGTCTTATTTATGGGTGTGTTGTGCACCACACTTATAAGCAGGAGGCTACAGGGCATTTAGGACTGTCACTCTTTCTTCTTACTCTAGATCGTGTGGTAGAGCTCAGTTGTAAGAACTCAATTTCCTAAACTCTATCTTATTCATAATACGACGATGCCTACATCCAGAAATACGGTTGATAAGAGATATTGCTGTGGAAGAGTTGAGTCAGAGGAACTCGATTTTGCATCATACTTATGATGAGTAAATGTGAAGTCTTCATAAGATCTTATGTGTATTAAGACATGTAAGCTTCTTGATAAGGAGCTTAAGGCAAGAATATATATCCACCCCTTTGGTGAAAAGCAATGAGAGATTTAGAAGATAGATACAAATTTCAACAAGTAAAAGAAGCAAGGTGAAGAAGGGTACGAGGTACCCAGTTAGTAAAGCTGAACATTATCTACAATTCAGGAAGAGCGATATATAAGCATTTTGAGTTACCTTCAATAGTAACAGAGGTATGTACAATTGGCCACATCCATCGTATTTATGCCTTATGGGGGGAGTAGTATAAGAGAAGGACGGATATGAGGATCCGACTGGGTAAGAATAACCCAAAATGGTGAATGGATTGTTTGTGTTAGTTGACATTTTCGAAGGATATAGCAAATGTGCTAATAGATCTCCTTGTGAGATCTCCTTATAAAAATGAAATGATTCACAGAGCTACGCAGACATACATGTCGAGTATTTTACTCTATGTTTCTCTCATGTCTATTATTTACTGATTTTCATTCCTTACATACTCGGTACGTCTCACTGGGAAGACAGTCAAAACATCAGTTCAAGAGCAACCCTACAAGAACAAGGGCATGGAAATAAGCAACTACGGATAATTATAGGCAAGGAAGAACATCAAAAGTTCCGTCCAGTATACGATATAATAAGCTCGCAGCTTCACAAGAGTCAGAAGGTCTTCCTTAAGTACTACAATGAAAGACTAGCTGAGGAAATAAGGAAGAAGGCTTCAACCTAAGCACAATGACCTAAAGAGGAAATGCTCATGTAAAAAAAAAAAATAGTCTCACTACAACATTGTATGCACTTCATGAGAAAGTGGCACCTACCGTGGCTAAGGAACAGGAAGAAAAATCAAAAGTAATATTCGAGATCGTGTGAGTTGCACAAAAATTTCGGCATGCGTGGGAACTAAGATAAGCTAAGTATACACGCAACAGAGGGGCAGGAAGACCAGGAAAAGTAATAGCTTACGTTTAAAGGAAGCTTAGAGGGAACAAAATGGATTATGCACTTAATACTTCAGAGTGATATCCATGCACCATATATTTTGACATTCATACAACCGTAGAAGACTCCGGTATAAGTTAAAAGAAAGAATTAAGCCTAGGGCATAGACAAAGGATTGAATTATCAGAAGATTGTATCATGGATATTCCATAGCGCCCATGAAAGGCTAAAGTAATAACTAATACCGTGAGCCACAGATCATAAGATAGCTTAAGCCTACATAAAGGACTAATCAGAAGGAAGAGGAAACTAAAGAGTTACAACAACGAAGTAAATCAGGAGTCTGATTATTGGACACACAAAATTATAGAAATCGTGGTTGAAAACATTGTAGGATCGCTCTTAATATCAGAGATATAAGCGAGATAGTACAGTAGCCATATTCTATAATGGTCTATGATAAAGTCAGTTAGAAGAGAACCAGCCTCATAAAAGTCAATATGAAGCTCCCACCGGAGTATGTATGCACTAGAGGTGCAAGTATTATAATAGAGCTTCAAGTCGCGGATGTTAATTATACCTATGTGGAAGGGAGGTCATAAAAGAGATAGAAGATATGATGCGAGATTTTAAGGTAAGTAACGTAAAAGTGAACAACGTACATGATACTCAAATGCAGAAGATCATGAATAGTCCATACTTTGGATAGAAGGCTAGAAGCACTGGGATTCAGTATCTAAGATTAAGACCATGAAAACAAGAGAGCTGAAGGTCCCTCTAAGTTATAGAAATCTCGGCATAGCCTGAACAAAACTCAAAGGAGTCTAAGACTAGTAGAATTTAAAAGAGATGAAATACTGCCCTGATAGTAGAATAAGGGTATGATTGTGATAGATAAAGGATGACGTTTGGACCTTTGATTGAGTAATGATTTGAAGAGGATTTCATGGATTGTACGGAATTAAAAATGTAGGGTAAATCAC